TTTAATGTCCTCCTGAAAAACTGACATGCAGACCTGGTTGATTTGCCCACATGAAAAGGGCCTTAGCATATATAAGAGCCCCCTAGAGAGTCTCGGGCATTTTAAATTCCATAGAAAGTTGAGCTGGGCAGTTTGGTCTTCTTTTAGGATCTATCTTAGGAACTCTTAACGCTAACCCAAATTTAACCCAACCCAGTCCCTTACATTAAAGCCCAACTTGGGTATAAAACCAAGCTGTACCCCCTACACCCCTCTCCAGCTCATGTGCTCGCCCCACATTCGGTTAGCCTAAATACATCCACATGGGGTTTATAATATTTCATCAAGCTGGGGACAACACTAGAAAAACCATAGATATTGTAGATGCACTTCATAAAACCCAAAAGGAAACATTGCCTCTGAGCTTGGATGCTGAGAAGGCCTTCAATCATCTAAGCTGACCTTCTTTCTTCAGGTCATTCAGGATCTCTATATGACCCCTACTGCGGCAGTTAAACTTCCACATTTATTCTCATTAACATTCTCTTTTCTTAGCTGTCTCTTCATTTTGCCCTCACCTCTACCATTAGATGCATCCTAACATATCTAGAGTCAGTATATGGAACAAACCATTCACTATCTCCCTCTAGGCAGATGATATCGAGGGGCTTCCTTTTATTATCATCCTGTCTTGAGTTGCTGCAGACTAATTACCATTAGAGTTGAAAGTTGGTTTCTGGGGAGTCCATATTATTCCTGCACAATTTTCTCCCAAATTGCCCCCTTTTTACATAAATGGGAGGCTTATCCTATTTCTTCCTTGGGTCATATTGCCTCAAGATGTATATTTTACCTAGTTAGCTAGAGGGAGCTAGCTGATTATTTTTTTTTTTTAGATAGACAGACTGAGCAGCAGCCTGGGGGATAGTCAGCAGGGTAAAATTTGGGTCAGGGCTGAGAGGCTCTGCAGATCAGTTCCTTGATACCTAGCCTTGCTCTAGAATTTTGGAGAAGATTCTAGAAGCAGTGGGCGGAGGTGAGGAGGGGCTGGTCTGCATACTCAAGGGACTCTGCTTTAAACCTTTGTCCCCCGCTCCCCATTAAGGATTGACACCTTTGGGGAGCAGGGGGGGGGGCAGGTACTCACATTTGACAAGTACCCACTCCCACTTCTGCTGCGATTGCCTAGGCGATCGGAAGCAGAAGTTGTCCTCCCCCCTCCCTCCCCATAGTCTTCTGGGACACGTGACAGGTCCAGAAGACTACGGAGCCATTCACAAAGTGCAGCGCTTCTCGTGCATGCGCAGTGGGCACCCGGGTGTGAAGCCGTAAGCTGTCACAGCTGGGTGCCCACACCGAAGATGCCGGCGCCAGGGAGAGAAGACTGCTGATGAAACCAGCGGTGTTGAGGACATTGCTGGACCGAGGGACAGGTAAGTGGCTGTATTTTAAAAGCTACAGTTTTCGTAGCAGCTGAATTTTATTTTTTTTAAGGTGGAACTCTGCTTTAAGTATGACTGAGCCTGCTCAGCAGCAGGAGAGTTTGGGTGGAAGATGTGAGGAAGGCTGAGATGCAGGAGCCTGGGAGGGGGCCTAGTGGGAAGGGGCCTACCTACAGGCCCAGAGAGAGGACCACCTGTGGAGCCAGGAAAGGAGCCAGCCCAGCAGAAGGCCTGAAGGCAGCTACCCACCCACAGCAGCTCACAGGAAAGAGACAGTAGAGTGAGTAGTCCTACACCCCCTGGGCCAGTTAAGAGGAAAACTAAACTCTGGTGGCAAACCTAATTATCTCCTTACCCAGGACTGGATCCCCTTGCCTTGGGATACCTCCAGACAGCTGGATAGAAAAGAACTATCTGGGGTTTGGCGTGGTACACCAGGAAAGGCTGGAGAGCTCTCCAAGAAGAGAAATCTTCTAGAGACTTGTACATAGTTGCTAAGGAGTTTATCCTCATTTTACAGTTCCCTTGGGCATCCCGTACACCCCTTACCCCATCTAAGTTCAATTCCCCTAATAAAACAAAAAAAAAAAAATAAGCTCAAGGACTGTTTTACTGTCTCTGGAATGCAGGTCTGTGGAATATGTGTGTTGCCTGGCTGTGCAGGACTACAGGGGGATACAAATCTCTAGCGGCTCCTAATTGGCTAGTGTTCCATACCCAAACTCTTATACCTATTGGAACACATCTCATTAGGGTTCCTATTAGAGATCCTAAAAAAGCCCAAATGGAACTACTCAACTTTCTATAGGATTACAAATGCCGACTCTTCAAAGGGTTCTTATATACAGTAAGAGTCCAGCGTGGTCTTGGGATGGTCTTTGGTTGCCAGATGTTACAAAGTACTATTATGCAGCTCATCCGGGACGCTTGCATCTTGGTCCACATTATACTTCCATAACCACTGGACATAACATGAAAAACCTTGGCTTGCCTCTGTCCACCTCAGTACAGTCCTCTGGATCTCTGTGTGGTTCCAGATGCAGGCCTTCTAGCCACAATGCAATTTACTAAGATCATTGGGGGAGTTTATTATTTTTTGGAGGCAGGCAATGGATAGGCATAGTCTTATGTCCCCTAAATCTATTTTGACATCCTTCCTACGCACTCCAAGCATTCCAAGCAGCTGAAACTCATAGAAGTGAATGCTGCAGAGAGAATTTTTTTTTATTCAGATTCATTCAGCATTAATTATCATACCAGAACAAGTTTGCCCTTTTCTGACATTCAGGACAAATATAAACTTCCTTTTAAGTCCTTCTTTAGTTTTCTACAGATCCAGCAGTTTGCAATATCTGTTACCAAAGATCTTACATTTAATGAATTTACACTTTTTTGAGAGGATATGTAGGGGAGGCTCATCCAAAAAAAGCCTATTTTTAAATATTAAGTGCATTATTGGAAAACGCGTTTCTGAAACATCTTTATATGAGTAGATGGGAGAGGATTTTGAGATGGGAACAGCCATTAGAATTAAGATGGCACTGGCCCCGATAATTTGAGGAAATACTATTACAAGCAGACAGACCTAAATATGCGGTAACTCTCCTGTACCAGTTACTACTCCGGGAAACCCATCCCTAGGAGAGGATATGTGTGACAGGAGTCACTTTGGGTGGGGGGGCCCATGAAACCCAGCTCACTTTGGAGAGGTGGGGAGACCCCTGTCTCAGCTCCCCATATCCCTCTTATGTGTAAGTCACCCTGTGCCTGTTAGGGGTACAGGGTGATCTGTCCTAATATTGTGTAGTCCTGTATAGGTGGGGGTTGTGGATTGTTTAATGCCATGTGGTTGCATCCCATTGTTCTATTGTGTGTCTTGCTTGGGAGCAAACTATTATGGGATGTATGTGTATTAGCTTAGTGGCCCTCCCTCCTGATTGGACTGTCTGCCAGTGTGAAGTTTGAATACCTGTGTCTCTGCCCTGCTCTGTGTCATTATGCAGGGGGGGGGGGGTTGTTCCCTTGAATGTATATATCTTGTATTTGCGTTAAAATAAACTAGTCTACTTCCTGGTTTGCTTCAAGACTGGTGTTGTCTAGTCTTGCATGGTCGGCTGTGGTCGGTGTTCGGACAGAGGAAGCAGTGTTCTACCCAAGTGCAGACTGGGTCGGTTCCATTACAGAATGTATCTCCAAATAAGAAACTAAACTGAACCTTATCCCAGAAGACATGGACTGGGATAAAATACTGAATTGTGAACATAAAATTTATATTTCTGCCAGAATGTATTTATAAGACTTTATCTTACTGGCCACACAATCTGCTATCCCAGATACAAGTTGGAGATGTGTAGAATCACTTGGCCTGATCTCACACATATGGAGCTGGAGCCTATCCATTACTCCATTTTGGGATAATATTTTATGTATGTCCTTCCACCGGGTTATAAGAGGCAAATCTCATGCAGGGTTCCCAGGGATACAGATTAAGGGGTTCCAGAATGGCTGTTCTAAGTGGGGGGAAAAAAATGTTTTTTTTCAGCTCTCTGGGTTTGGTAACTCCCAGATTGGGTTCTGGAATGTAGAGGCTTCAACAAGTCTTGGGAGATTGAAAGTCTCTATCCTTTGTTTTGGTGGGGACCATCAGGTATAAATAAAAGGGCCTGCCAGTAGTTTAAGTCTCTGCCTGGGAGACAGGAGGTCCCCTGCCCAGAGGTCAGGGCGTGGCTCAGTGCAGAAAGGCGCTTTGAGGTTTGCATATGAGCACACTGGTGCTGCAAGTCAGTCTGAAGGAACTGACAAGGGCCTAACCCTGAGGCCAGAGCCAGTGGTGTATTTAGGTTTTGTGCTGCCCTAGGCAACTCAAAAATCATCTGCCCCCACGGAAACCCACCCACACTACCCTCCACCCCCTTGCAATACAGTGTAAAGAAGCCACTTAGGAGCCACCAGCGTCCGCTGCCACGCTATGGATGGAAAAAGGAAGCCGGCCGGGGTTTTCAAAAGTTGGCTCTGAAGTGCACACGTGGACCACAAGGGGAGCAGGATGAGGAGCTGATTGCAATGTGTTTCTGAGCATGTGCGAACCTGGAACTGGGCATGTGCACTCTTTCGTCAGGCAAACTGATGTTTCAAGCAGTCTGCACTTAGAGGTGCTCCTTTTTTATAGGGTTCTTGGTTGTTTACATCTGGCCCAGGCCGGATGTGATGTCATGATGATGTTACTTTGGTCCTCCAATGCCATAGAGATGGTTGAAGACCATAGTCTTTGGTCCTCCAACGCCATAGAGATGGTTGAAGACCAACACCATAGAGATGGTTGAAGACCATCGCCTCTAGGAGCAGCCGGCCCCACTGTCGGATCGTTTCTTGGGTGCACTGGTTTTAACGGACCACCCCCCCCACCCCTTGTCCTGTTTAAGATCCACCCCTTCAATTGGCAAACTCCACTCCTTGCCTCTTTAGGTCTCCACCTCCTCCCTATTAGAAGCGCCACCCACTGACAACGATGGGGTGCTATTCCTTATTCCTCCACTGACAACAATGTTTGGGGCTCTATTCCTCTGTTACCAAATGATGGGACACTATTCCTCCCACTGACACCAATGATGGGGCACTATTCCTGCCTCCACTGACACCAATGATGGGCACTATTCCTCCCACTAATACCAATGATGGGGCACTATTCCTGTGCCTCCCACTGACCACCAATTGATGGGGCGCTATTCCTCCCACTGACACCAATGATGGGGCACTATTCCTCCCACTGGACACCAATGATGGGGCACTATTCCTCCCACTGGACACCAATGATGGGGCACTATTCCTCCCACTGATACCATTGATGGGGCACTATTCCTCCCACTGATACCAACGATGGTGCCCATCATTGGTGTCAGTGTGGGAGGAATAGTTGCCCTATCATTGGTGTCCAGTGGGAGGAATAGTGTCCTGTCAGTGTGGGGGGGAGGATAGTGCCCATCATTGGTGTCAATGTGAGGCAGGAATAGTTGCCCCATCATTGGTGTCAGTGGGAGGAATAATTGCCCCATCAATTGGTATCAGTGGGAGGAATATTCTGCCCCATCATTCGGTGTCAAAGTGGGAGGAATATTGCCCATCATTGGTATCAGTGGGAGGAATATTTGCCCCATCATTGGTATCAGTGGGGTGGAATAGTGCCCCTATCATTGGTATCACTGACACCATTGATACTTCACTGTGCTGACCGCCTGCTCCAGCCCGGTAATTCCTCCCTCTCCCATCCACAGCCAGCATACTTGGCTGCAGTAGTAATAATCTGCTCTGACCAGATCCCAGCCACACAGACACCCATCAGCTGGTCTTCCTTCTCCGTCCGCTCTTCTCCTCTTCACTGGCTCCAGCTGTCCCTCACTCGATGTTTGATCTTCGCGCTGGCCCGCTTGGCTCCTCCTCTCCAAGCTTAAACTCCTACTCCCACCCTGTTGATGTGGCCCCTTCCAGGCTACAAAACCAGCTCCAATCACCGGTGAGGCAGAGCTTGCGAGGGAGGGAAAACTGCATAGGGAGCCAAATGACCCGGGGGTTTGACCAATGAGACGGCGGGAAATTTATCCCCCCACATCGCGATCAAGATCCAGGGGATGAAGAACCGGACACCCCCTCCACCCCCCCCAAAACCGCATCTCATGGGATGGATTTAAGGGGACAAGAAATCGTGGGACAGTAAGACCACAGCACCCCTGCCTTTCCCCGAAGTGTCCCTTTGTGGAAAAGGAGGGGGGGGACGCTGCCGCCGGCCGCCCCCCTGAAAAATCCCCCCAGGCAAATTCGCCCCCGCCCCTTAACCCCCGGGAAATGACTTGAAAACCCACATTTATTATGTATTTTGGGCTTTAAATGGTTGTACAAAAAGCCCCTGGGCTGAAGGGTGTGATCTTACAGGGCCCCTAATCCATTGCCATGGGGACCCTCCGTGACCTCATTACACACATTT